CATTTTGTTTTAGGTCTGTGTTGTGTTTACGTCGACTTCTAAAGCTGACTGGTGATGTTTTAAAATTGGCCCCCGAATTTATACTGCTCACATTGTGAACACAGCAACGACCTTCTGAGGTCACATTTCTTTGACGCAACTAGTTTTACTTAACTTTTACTTTATTGCAACAAATATATTTACATCTGTATTATTTATTGTTTTACACTATTTATACATTATAATCACTATAATTATGATCATTTATTATTATTAAAGAGCAGTAAATACTTCTGTTAAAGCTCTATACAATAATATACATATAATAGGATTCAACTGCTGAAAAGGGCTATTGACCATAGATCTTTTCGGTTATATTAATAATTAATATATCACAAAATTGATTATATTTGAATTTGCTCAATTTTGTGAAAATATAATCTATATATTTAGAATGATATTACCGTCTTTTATAATAGAAACACTTCTACTTCAGTTGAATAATATCTGTAACTTATTTATAATTTTCATCTTCCTTTTAGTTTTAATCGTTATACTTCTAAAAGCTACATATATAACATATTAGTTTTTATGTAATGGGTTCATCTTCTTCCTTAGTATTTATGTCTTCCTCGTTCGTATTCCAATATAAACGTAATTTCAACACCGTAATATATTGTAAAAATATGCAAATGAAATTTTGGAAATAGTTTTGATATTTATATCAGATTTACAACTGAGATAATCTAAAAAATGTGAGAAACGTTCTAATTGATATATTAATTATAATTGAATATTGAATATATTATACGTGACCCATGAACGTTAGTACTGAAATATATTTTATCGAGGTTAAAATCTATGTTATATGCAAATTAACACATCAATACAAACAATTTTATTTATTTTGAAATTTACCAATTTATTATAAAGAGTTATCGATCGCAGTCTTTCTATTTCGATAAATAATTATAATTAAAACATTTACGATAATAATTAAAATAATCTGGTCTCAACGCTTTCTGTTCATTTCTCTTCAATTCTTTATAAAATTTCTTAGAATATAAGCTAATTTCCTTAAATTTAATATATGACCAGGTATTATTATTATTGGAATAACAAACAATTTTTTTATTTTTCATTCTGAATATTCAATATTTTCTCTATAAAATATAAAATAAAGCAAACAATATTTTTTTAGATATGTTATTAAATATGCATGAATATAACATATTGTTTTGATATAAAGAGAACAATTAAGTTACTCTTTTAATTAATAAACCTGAAAGAAAATTTGACATTTATATATTGGTCATATTTGAAACAACGTTCAATTTTCCAAAATATATTTCTTTCTCAGGAATTAGATTCTATTCTATTATATTATTACTTTGTAAAACTATTTTTCATTATATATCTACAAGAAACACAAAACCAAATTATAATATCACTTATGTCTCTTATATCATAATATTTAATCTAGAAATATATTTAAAAATCATTCAAATTAAAGCAGCATTTCATTAAAAATATTTTTGTATAAAAAGTACTTTTGACATTTAGAGTAAAGGTAAGAATAAAAAATGATATTATTTTTTTTCGAATATTTATTTTTTTTACAGATAAATTAATCAGTTCAATTTATTGATTTAGAAGTAGACGTTGCTCAATAATGGGAGTAGGCCAGCTTTCCGGCGTATCCGTACCCAGAGTAATCATATGGAGATGCAGCGTATTTGTAAGCCACTGGAGCGGCGTAAGCAGCGGTGGCAATTGGTGCGGTGTAAGCAGCAGCTACAACTGGGGTAGAGTATGCAGCTACGACTGGTTTGCTATGAACATCGGTCCTGGATTGATAGCTTACGGCAGTTGGGATGGTGGCAGCAGCGGTATAAGCTACTGGAGCAGTAGCAACGGTCTTAACAACTGGAGCTGAGTAAGCAGCATAAGTGTTGTACGCCAAAGGAGTGGTGTAAGCTACTGGAGCAGCGGCAATGGTCTTGACAACTGGAGCAGTGTAAGCAGAAACGACTGGAGCAGCAGAGTATGCTACAACTGGTTTGCTGAAGACATCGGTCCTAGATTGGAGACTTACGGCGGTTGGGACACTGTAAGCGGCACCATGGAAGACTCCAGCGCTGGCAACAGCCAAAAGAGCAGACAACACCACCAATTTGAACATTTTGTTTTAGGTCTGTGTTGTGTTTACGTCGACTTCTAAAGCTGACTGATGATGGTTTGAAATTGGTCCCCAAATTTATACTGTTCAAATTGTAAACGCACCAACGACCTTCTGAAGTCACATTTCTTTTGCGCGGTTCCTTTTTATAAACTTTTACTTTATTAGCGCAATAAATATATTTGTCTACATTCATTACATTACCAATTGTTGATTTTAATAATTAAATTTCTTTATAATTAATATTATTTCAAATAATTGATTAAGTTTTGAAGTTATTTATACAAAAACATAATCCTTTATTTAATTTATAAATATACAGCCGCATTCACCACAAAAATTTTTGTCTTATATGTTATTGATTTGAATTATATATTCTTCGTAATTTTCTTTCACTTTTTACTTTTAGATGTTTTTTTATTATTTGAAATTATATAATATCAGGATTTGTTATTGTTTATAATAAATATAAATATGTATATAATGGTACAGAAAGACCATTGTTGGTTTAAATATGTTTCAAATTTTTATTCACTATGTTATAATAAATAATAATAAACAATTTGTTTTATGTAACAATATAAAAATGGCTATTGATTGCACATTAATAAATTTTATTATATAAATATTATTGTAATAAAAGTTAATACTGAAAAAATAACATATTTAACCAGACCTTCCAATCTCGATACAGTTTACCGGTTTTGCAAGTTGAGAGTCGGGCTTCGATCTGGAATCGGATATCTGGCTCTTACCATTTGTGAACACATTTTATCAATTTAAAGGATAATACCGTTAAAATTTTGCTATTTTTTTTTTCCAGGTTTTTTTTGTTCCCCGGGCAGAAAGACCTATGGTCAATAGCCCTTTAAAGGAATTGACTTTTTGATTTATGATATTTATAATATTGTATTGAGTTTTTTATTTTATAATTTTCTGTTTCAATAAATATTGTTATGATTATTAAGATATTTATAATTGGCGTTTTCGGATAATAATGCTTATTATTTATAATGTTACTAAATATAAAACGTGTAATTCATAGATTTCAAGTTAGTATTGATAAACAATTCTAAATTTCCATTACGAAACTATTAACAATTATATATTTATTTGTTGCATTATAAAAGTATATAGTATTAATAATTTTCGATGATCCACATGGCAATACACCTTTAAACAGTATTAATACCAATACTGTGTAAAGATTATATTAGGATTGAAACACCTATGAACCGTCTATGTATTATATAATAGTTGATCTTCTTTGTTTGATAATTGTTTTGTATAAATACGTTTATTTTTTATGTAATTGTTACTCTAAAGATTATTATCTTAATATATATTATGCTATTTATAAATGTACATAATACTATGTAAGGAATTTCGTAGTTTTAATAAGAGGATTTATAATAAAATTTAAAATTCACATATATTTATTATATTTTTTATTTCTGTTTAAATAATTTAGTCAGTTCATTAATATGATTTGCGAAGTCGACATTGCTCAATAGTGGGAGTAGGCCAGCTTTCCGGCGTATCCGTATCCGGAGTAAGCATATGGAGATGCAGCGTAATTGTAAGCTACTGGAGCGGCGTAAGCAGCGGTGGCAATTGGTGCGGTGTAAGCAGCAGCTACAACTGGGGTAGAGTATGCAGCTACGACTGGTTTGCTATGAACATCGGTCCTGGATTGATAGCTTACGGCAGTTGGGATGGTGGCAGCAGCGGTGTAAGCTACTGGAGCAGCAGCAACGGTCTTAACAACTGGAGCGGAGTAAGCAGCATAAGTGTTGTAAGCCAAAGGAGCGGTGTAAGCTACTGGAGCAGCGGCAACGGTCTTGACAACTGGAGCAGTGTAAGCAGCAACGACTGGAGCAGCAGAGTAAGCTACAACTGGTTTGCTGAAGACATCGGTCCTGGATTGATGGCTTACAGCAGTTGGGACACTGTATGCGGCACCATGGAAGACTCCAGCGCTGGATACAGCCAAAAGAGCAGACAACACCACCAATTTGAACATTTTGTTTAGGTCTGTGTTGTTTTTGCGTCGACAACGAAATCTGACTGATACAAATTCGAACAATATCCAGTCATTTTATACCGAATAATTCGTGAATGGAGCGTAACCTTGAGGGGTCATTCGTTGCTCGATTAGCAAACAGTAAAAACGCAACACTTCACTAAATAAATCTATACAACTCAATACAATTACTTATTTCCGACTAAATATCTGCGTTATTAAGCAGATAATATTTAATTATTTCCAAGTATCCAACAGTTCCTATTTAGTCATACAACCTTCAAATGAGCAAAATTATAAATTGTTGAATAATTACTGTAACATATTATTTAATTTAGTATATATTCACTGAAGTTCCGATAAAAATATAACAATTTTTTTAAAGGCCACTAAAAATATGATGTAATTAACATATTAAAAAAATGTATAGTATATAGATTTCATTAATGTTGGTATGATATATATATTACATACAAAAAGAGAAATAATTTAAAAACTAATTAATAATATATTTAAATTAGTGGAATAACAGTATATTACATATATAAAAACTATTATTGGGCAAAACAAATTGTAGTGAGTATTTCTGTAAATATTAAAATAATAATATTTATTGACCAGACTTCAATTATAAACAACAAAAAGTACATCCTATAAATCAATACATAATAATAATAACAATAATGAAAAGCAAATAATAATAATTCGGAACAAGAGAAAAAAAAAACTATAATGAAAAATAATCAAGGCTGGTCAAAGTGCTATTGAAGACCTCGGTTTCCGCCCTACAGATATAAATTAGATATAAAATAATTATGATGTACCATTTTAAACTTAAGAAGAAAATAATCTATTAATTGATTAATAATAATAAATATTAACAAAACGCTTTACAGAACATAGTATATTTTATTAATTAAGATGCATTAAAAGATTTGAACTATATTAAGATAAACAATTAATATTTTTCAATGTAATTGAGTATAAAAGATTATTTCTTATATTTTTTTTAATGCCGCTTATTTCTAGATATCGATATGTATTAACTATAATACAGATTTTCATATCTAGATTATACAAATATATACGTTTAGATTTAAATATATGTTGAAATTTATATATTTCACAAAAGAATCACTGTATGAAACTCTTATTTCGTAAAAATTGCTAACAAAAACTAAGATCCTTGAATTGTCTTAACATGACATGATACACATTTTTTTTAGTAATAACACTGTACGCTACAGTTGAACCGGATTGAGTAAGAATTACGCATACTATTGTAGTACATATTCTATCGACTCTAAGAGTGACCTTACAAGGACATCGAAACGTTCACAAATAATTCGTATAAATTTGTGACTTCATTCAAAATATGTATCAGTTAACTTTTAGAAGTCAACGTAGAAACAACACAGACCTAAACAAGATGTTCAAATTGGTGGTGTTGTCTGCTCTTTTGGCTGTTGCCAGCGCTGGAGTCTTCCACGGTGCCGCTTACTCTGTGCCAACTGCAGTAAGCCACCAATCCAGGACCGATGTCTTTAGCAAACCAGTTGTAGCTTACTCTGCTGCTCCAGTCGTTGCTGCTGCTTACACCGCTCCAGTTGTGAAGACCGTCGCTACTGCTCCAGTAGCGTACACCTCTCCTTTGGCTTACAACACTTATGCTGCTTACTCCGCTCCAGTTGTTAAGACCGTTGCTGCTGCTCCAGTAGCTTACACCGCTGCTGCCACCATTCCAACTTCCGTAAGCTATCAATCCAGGACCGATGTTCATAGCAAACCAGTCGTAGCTGCTTACTCCACCCCAGTGGTAGCTGCCGCTTACACCGCACCAATTGCAACCGCTGCTTACGCCGCTCCAGTAGCTTACAAATACGCTGCATCTCCAGTCGCTTACACCGGATACGGATATGCTGACAAATTGGCCTACACTCACTATTGAGCAACGTTGACTCCTAAAATGACTTGACTTATTTATATACTAAAAATAAAACAAATATGAAGAAAGATCCATCTATTTTTTATTAAACATTTCCTATACCTTTAAAATTATTACAAATATCATCATGTAAATATAATACAATAAATTTTTTGACCTATAATGTTATCTATTTAAAACACATATAGTTATGTACACAATATGTTGTTTTATTAAAACGACAATTATTTTTTCATATTAAGAAGTTTTTCTAGCGAATTTTATATAATTTGTTGCAAAAAATAAATTCCATTACATTTCTTTACTAGACTAGATCACTATTTATAACATGTAATTTTTATATTATTATGGGTAATTATTTTAACATAATATGCTTCAAATATTACTATAATTTTAGAACAAGGATGTTCTTTATATATTTTTAACAATCTTTTGAATATTTAAAGAATTGCTGTTATATATTATAAAATAATATAATTACAATTATTTTTTATTGCAACAATAACAAAAGTACAGAAAATTAATACGTATTTATAATACTAATCATAGCACAAATAATAAACTGTTACAAAGGACTACTAATAGAATTAATATCATTGAAGAATGAAATATCTTACATTTCTGAAATATTATTTATGAAAAACAGATTTGCTAGAAAAACTTTCAGTAAATAGAAAATAGCATTCGATACAGTAACTTCAAAATTATTTTCTTTACGATTAATAAATATAATAATATGATTAATAAATATTAACAATGGATTATTTATGGAATTTATATTATACTTGGATGTTGAACATGTAAATTATTATTTTAGATAAATTTAAGTGACATTATTTTCTTTTTCAATAAATATTTTCAAAAACGACAACGACCTAAATTTGACAGCCGACAAGTTTAATTACTCTAAATCATATGACTTATTGGTATTACATACAAATTACGTATAATTTATGAAAAATAGTTTAATAAACTTTCTTTAAAGAATATGCTTATGTTAACGACTTCCTAAAGGTGCGGTTCAAATCGTTGTTGAACTTGACATTGATTGATCAATTTTGTTTATTCTAGAAATAGTTTCTAAAACAAAATTATATTATATTTAAAGCGTTGTAATTATTTCAAGAAAATAAATTATTTACAATGAAACAATTGTTGTTATTTTAAAGTTTTGTAATGAGATTGACCAATAACTTATGTTGCAAGTGCTAGATTCAGATAAAACTAAACGGCATTAATATTCTGTACGATTCAATTATTCAATTCATTACAATTCCAGGCTCTTCGCAAAGTTTTGCATATAGCATTGAGACATCTCATGCCGTGTTTGAAATAGCTAAACTATTCAATAGAGACATTTTATTTTGATTCGATTTACTATGAAAATATTTGATACAAAATGAGGTTTATGATGGATTTGACATATTTGTTATTATATATTGTTTAATATTATTAAATAAATCAAGTAATTTGGAAATTAAACAATAGATACGGTTCCTAATAAAAATACTGAAAATAAAGGGATTTGTTGTGTATAATAAAATTCGTAAATGTATTTTTTATGTATTTTTTTATTATTTTTAAATTAATCAGTTCATTTAGCAGGTCGACGTTGCTCAATAGTGGGCGTAAGCCAATTTTCCGGCGTATCCGTAACCGGTGTAAGCATATGGAGAAGCAGCGTATTTGTAAGCTACTGGAGCGGCGTAGGCTGCGGTGGCAATTGGAGCGGTGTAAGCAGCAGAAACTACTGGAGCAGCAGAGTAAGCTACGACTGGTTTGCTGTAGACATCGGTCCTGGATTGATGGCTTACGGCGGTTGGGATGGCGACAGCGGCGGTGTAAGCTACTGGAGCAGCAGCTACAGTCTTAATAATTGGAGCAGAGTAAGCTACTGGAGCAGCAGCAATGGTCTTAACAACTGGAGCGGAGTAAGCAGCGTAAGTGTTGTACGCCAAAGGAGAGGTGTAAGCTACTGGAGCGGCGGCAACGGTCTTCACAACTGGAGCGGTGTAAGCAGCAACGACTGGAGCAGCAGAGTAAGCTACAACTGGTTTGCTGAAGACATCGGTCCTGGATTGGTGGCTTACGGCAGTTGGGATGCTGTAAGCGGCACCATGGAAGACTCCAGCGCTGGCAACGGCCAAAAGAGCAGACAACACCACCAATTTGAACATTTTGTTTTAGGTCTGTGTTGTGTTTACGTCGACTACCAAAGCTGACTGATGCAAATCCAAAGTGAAGACCGGCATTTATACGATTATTTCGTGAAGGCGCTGCACATACGGCCGCGACCTTCTGGTACCATTCTTGCATGCTTTTGTACGCCTAATTCACTTTCTTATTGTATCCGGCATGACTCGCAATTCGCTTAATTCTTTTTTATTTTCCTCGGCATCGCGCAGACTGCTAGTTTCATAATAATTATGTGCGGACGAAACTTTGTTATAATTTTAACGCAGCTCCTTTATTTGGTTTCTTCTTTTTTATTTTTCGTAACGGTATGACCCTCACTTACGACACTACCTACGAAGCTACTACTTAAAACTAGTCATTTATAACCAGTTAAGAATACCTTTTCACTGTCGTCTTTAAAAATGATAAATTAAATGTAATTATAAAATATTTATTGTATACTTGAAGTCAATGACCCAAGTCTTTATAGTTATACCTAAATATAACAGTAATTATTAATTTCATCAACAAAATGAAAAAATTTATCTAACTATAAGATTAAAAAAATGCACACATAATTTATGAGACAATTTTTAGAACAAAATATAATTATATAAAAGATACACTTTGATTCAAAATTAATTTATCTACGTCAAAATGTGCGCCTTATGATCCAAAATATTGCAATTGATATGTGCATAATAAACATATTAAATAATTCAACATACCAATGGAACTTCCGGTGGCTATTCTACAGATGTCTAAGAATAACAAACTACAATCATTTGCATTTAACTCATAAGAATTTTGCATAATCTAAATACAATATGATTCTGTTAAATAATAATAGCTATAGTTTATTGCATACATAATCAAATATATTGATTATTGATCACATACATTCTACCATATATATGAAACATATTTTTAAATTGTAATTAACTTTAAGTAAATGAGAACCAATAACTTCAATGTCATTTAATTACATTTTTGATAATTTTACATCTTTTCAATTCATCAAAACCTTACATTTTTTCATTTTTTGTTAGATATGTATATTTATATCTATTTTAAAAGAAATTAAGGTAGCTGGCTTTATGAAAATTTAATGGTATATGGAAATTTTAGAACACTTTGTATATATCAGATTTAAATATACATAAATAAAAAACATATTTATATAAATAGTCTTAAACATATCTATTGACAATTGGTAGTTCCACCGTCATATATTGAGTAAATTATATTAATTTAAACATACGTTGAGCATAGACCGATTTTGTAAAACTTTAGTTTTCACTTGGAAATTTTACTTAAGTTATTACATTTCTATGGATATTTTCAATATTATTATTTACATATCAAAATAAATTATTTAAAGAGTTAATTTCTTAATTAAAAATAATTAATGGAGTAATAGAATTAAATGATTAACATTTATCAAAAAAGTTTGTCTGCATAGAAAGAGATTGATTTAGATTTGATAAACGTGTTAATAGTTTCAGATTATTAATTAGAACAAATTAAAATTATTCTCTAAATAAGCAATAATTTCTCACATTTTCATATATATTTCTGTTAGTTGAATACAATTTATATATATTTTTAAATTATATTTCAAATTGTTACTAAACTCATTTATACTTTTTGATTCTTAAATTGAACTGGAGGTCAATAAACTTAAATCGTTATTTATAATTAAAACAAAATTGTTTATCTCATTTTAATTCATCATTTCTTATACTTTTTTATTTTAATATATTGATTTGAATAAATTATAAATTATTAGATTATTATCTCATACTTCTGGAATAATATTCACATGTTGTTACTTTATCGTCCAAATATTTCAAAATATATCGGATAAGACTCAAAATACAGAAGTTAATTTGTGCAAATTGTATGTATAAAGCTAGAAATGTCTATTGCATAAATTTTCAATATTTTACATAAAACACATTAAATCAAATTAATAATACAAATTTAGGAAAATTCAGTTTTCTCAATAATTTTATAGCAAATTTTAACTTTATTAAAAAAAAACAAATAAAAAAAATTAAACTTATTTATCTATTAATAGAATAAAAAAAAAGGCAGAAAGACCTATGTGGTATGATTTGTTGTAATGTTATTATTATTAAAATAAAAAAGAGTGTTACAACGAGTTTTGAATTTTGATATCAATACATATTTTTATTAAATTTATATTAAACTCAGTATAATGAATAGTATAAAAATTGTAAATCTTGATAATTTGTAATAATTTATTGCATATATAAAAACATATACAAAATAACTATTGAAAGTTATGTATAAATGATTTCTTTTAATGTGATTTATAGTTACACTTAACATTTTTGCAATAGAAAGATCACAAAGAATATATGAGATCACTGATTGAAAAGGCGAAAACATATTAAATAAGATATACGATGTTGTTTCTTAAGGAGTATTCTGTTCGCAGATTCCGAGCAAAAGTATAAATAAATTAAATGACAGCTTTACATAGTTGAACTCCAACAATATTTAAAAAAAGACATAAATTTATAATGCATATTAATATAATTTTCTTTAAATGTCGGAAATGTTTTGGGTGGTATCAACCTTGAATCGTATACGAACAACTGTATGTATATGTTCCGTTTACGTTGGTAGATCAGTTTCAAAGAAAGCAACCGACAGCAGAAATCGATTCATTTGAATTAATAGTTTCGGTTTTGCGTCGATTCGAATTAATAGGTTCAGAAAAAAAACTGTATAGTAAATTGATATGCGCAACATGGAAAGACCTCTTATTTTTTGTGTGTGTCCAACATGCATGTTCTTTCGAGAACCTACACAATGCAATTCATCATAATAAATCTGCTCGCTGGAGGTGTAATTGCATAACGAAATTATTAGGGCAATTGCTTTGTTTTGCTGCAAATTGTTTGTGTTTAATTCGCGTGTAATTAAACTGGAGAGAGAGTACTCAAAACTGGCTACAAAGTTATAATTACATACATGTTCCATTGTTACAAAATAAATAAAATTTGCAGTCTAGTAATACGATATATTTATATTATATTTAAATGTTTCTGTAGAAAAAAATTGAACGGTATTATTTTCAATAGAAAAGTAAAAAGAAATATATTCATATGTAAGTCACATATAAGAACATAAGAATACAAATGAAAATCATAATTATGAAAATAAAAACAATTATTTCAAAATTTTAGTAATAAAATTCAAATATAATAAAAATAAAATTTTAATAGGAGCCGTACTTCACTCAGCGAAATTTTTACACAATTGTTATATCAATTTATTTATTTTTTAATTTTCTTGATATAATATGCGCAAGATTTCCTTGATGCGACATTGATTATCTTACTAGTTGCCCTCAGTCTTGATATTTATTTTAAAGAAGTATATTGGAAAAATATTTGTTGTTTGCACTTAATATACATCTTCAAAGTATCATTATAATTAATAAAAGAATTTTTTCAACATGAATTAAAAAAGCAGTTACTCCATTTAGATGTAATTAATTTTATGAAGTTTTTTACCTACTTTTTAATATTGTGATTATTGTATAAACGAATATTATGTCATGCCCAACCCTGTATTTTGTTTATTTTTAAATATTATATAATATTATTGTTAATTTATATATTGGCATATACATTTTGTTTATTATTATATTAAAAGGCAAATTTTTACGTAATTTTTTTACAGTACCTTTAGCATTTGCTAAATATATTACTTTCTTTGGTTCTATTTATTATTTTACTATTAATCTGACAAAGTCATCATTCAATACAATAGTAACATCAATAACAATAGCATAGTTAAAAAAATAAACTTTTAAAAAGGGCTATTGACCATAGGTCTTAACTATAATTTTTGTCCTACAATTGTTTTATATTAATAGGACGAATTTATTCCATCTTTTTTAATGTTTTCCCAACACACTTACCATTTGTCTTACTGGCACAATTTCGCCAGTCTCTGTAATTATAATTTATACATAGTTCTATCAACATAGAATTAAACATGTTCCAGCGACTCCGACAGTACAAATTTCCTGATCGTAAATGATCGTGTCATATGCAACTTAATATACACTTTTCAATTTAAATATGAATTTTAAACTGTATCTCGAGTACAGCCTCGTACCGATCCATCTCCACAGAATGAGCTGGTCCGACTCGGATAGATGTGGGTGTGGTGAGATTAGAACTATGGACCATACACTCTTCCGTTGTCAGATACACCATAGAGCTATCACAATCTTCATGAACAAATTAGCTGAAATGAAAATACCATTCCCAAATACTACAACAGTATTAATGGCAACGCAAAACCGACATGTGTATGCAACTGTACTAGCTTATATTAGATCTTGTAAAGTTAGTTTTTAATTGAAATCTAATTACCTATGTTAAATGTAAGCTGTATATCCTTATTTCTAAGAGAACTTAAGCGGAGACAGGTGAAACTGTGCAGTGCACAAAGCAAGTGAGGAGAGTGGAGACACGAACAAGAGGAAAAAGAAACCTCAAGATTTCAATAATTATAATATATTAATTCTTCTTCATATATGAGCTATATGTTATTATCGTATTATAATAATCTTAATCTATTTCAACAAACAACTTAGTCCAACATTTCTTATATTTTATTTGTATTTATTTCTGTAATTTTATTGCTGTTATAAATGTTATTATTATTAGTTTCATTCATTCTGTCGATAACCCAGAAAATAACAATAACCGTGTTAAAAACTTCAATATATAATAATATCTGATGACTGGTACAATTACTTCATAAATTCTATTCGGAAAACGAAATAATATTTAAATTTTTCAAACATTAATACTTAATCTTATAATTTTCTGGAGTTTGGTCGCTGGATCAATCTCCAATACATATTTTTCATTTTTCTCATTATTAAGCCCAGAACTAGAGCATGTTATCTGTTTTTCTTTTTATTGTAGATAGATTGCTTTGTAAATAATAAAAAAAACACTTAAAGTTTTTAATAATATACCGATAATGACATTTATTGCAAAACTTTAAATTTAATCTGCAATGATGCTCTCATCTCCTTCATATTATACATTTGTCAATTCCGAAATATAAATTATGTTCCGGTTATCGATGATCGGTGATTATTGTTTTATATTTTTGTTCGAAAAAAAGATTTAAAACTGCATATTGAAGTAGACAACTTTACCATCAAATTTTCATTAAATTCCTTCTTTTATACCAAAACAAATTAGAACAATTGAAACAGCACACTTAATGTGTAGTTCAGAGTTAAAAATTACATTACTAAAAGAAGTTATTAAAATAACAAAGAGCTTTCAGTTACCTTATATAGGCAACCCAATATTCTTTTAATTATACCTACATTTCTATCGAATATTGGGTTGCCTATCATATATATCTTCTTCTTATGAAATATGAATATATATGAAATACTTTAACCCTTTGTGTCAGTGTTTTCACAATGGTACCAAATAAAAAATACTTATTTTCAAGCTTTAATAGATTAATAGAACAATTTGATCATATTTCACATTATATCACTTTATCCATTTTAAATTGTGCCTGTGTTTTAAATTGTGGTTTATAGCACATAAGCAATAAATTATGGTTCTTTTTATTATTAATAATAATATCACGAGTGCTAGATTTCAAAGACTGCAAATCCAGCACATTTCAATTTTGAAGCCCAAATGTATACTTGAGTTCTAATTCAGAAATTTTCAGTTAAAAATTGACGATGGAAGGTGGGATGGAGTATTAGTTTCTCAAATGCCACGTTACGGTTGTGGGCCCATTTTATAATTTGTGGCTCTCTTGATTTAATGGGTCCCATGTGCACGTCTGTGCTGAAATCCGCTAATGAATATCTTTAATATTCGTACAATAAACAGTTTAACTCTCTGAGGGGTGGTGGTATAATGCAATGAACCACCTTTTAAATATGCCTAGCAAGACATTTTTCTAGAAAATGTATTATACATTTTAATTGAGTTGTTATGTCAAAAGTTGAATATTGACGTTGATTTAGTTGACGAAGTTGCATGAATTTCTGACCCCTCAAAGAGTTAAAGTCATTATAGGCAGTGGGTCCCTACAAAAAATATATAGTAGGAAATGTCATGAGAGGTCTATAACTTGGGCCTAATGGCTAATCTGAGTATAAGCGTTGAGCAGTTTAAAACTATTAATAAAAGAGAATGAAATAAAACAATACTAGTACGTTATTTTTGGATGATAATTTATTTTTATATTTTAGTTTATACATAATACATTTATTACAATTTTTATTAGGTACACAAAAAATTTACAAATAACTTATATATTTGACATTTAAGATATATAATAAGTTTGACTAAATTCCATATGAACGGGCATATGGATATATCCATAAGTTACATAGTATATTTTCCCTTATATATGTCATTACATTCCGTTCGTTATCAGATTATACAAAAAATATATAACTTGCAAAAAAGAACATCAATTTAAAAAAAGGAAATGATGCAAACAATTCATGCTTTTTCCTCGGAACAGTTTCTTTATTATTAGTATATATTTTTTTTTATATATGATATTAATAATATTGCTACGACACGTTTATTATATTGGTATTCATTGATATGTTTGAACAACAAATACTAAGTACTCTTCAAAAAACTACGAATTTTCCATTATTCTGAATTATTGAAACACTTACGATTATTATTATTAATATTGATTTCTCAAAAGTTTTACATTTTTTTTCTCTAGGAACTAGAAATATCTTTCGTATATATTCATTATAGTAAACATATAAGCCTAGATTATACAAATATTATATAACTCGTTTGTATTTCTTGTTTTTTTTTTTCATTGTCGACACTTGCTCTTTCGAATTGGAATATTTATAATGGTAATTAAATATATAATACTGTACATTCTCATTAAGCTATACTCAAAAAAACAAACTAGATTTCAAATAATCCGAGAGAGAAAAAGCGTCCTTTTGGCGAATACAAAATATTTTTTAAGAAAAATAATTTAAAAAAAAAGTTCAAATGAATTTCTCTAACGACCATCAGAATTGAAATTATATAATTAAAAAAGATCTAAAAATTAATAAATAAATAACTTAAAATTATAAATCTACATTTGTATTTATAAACGTATTGATAATTACTTGGGGAGATTTCCAGTATTTTTTCGCTGAATACGGAAAGAAATATAGAAAATCTTAAAAAGACTGTACAAAATATATATGAGATAGTAAATGTAATCAATAATATTATACAATTATAAATGCTTTTGGTACAAATACGCATTTTACAATTGTATATGCTTTATTAATACGTATATTAAAAAAAGGATAATTGACAAATGAAACAAATTTAATCAACTTAAAAATTGTGTGTGTTTGTTCCTTTATTATTATTTTTTTGTTTGAATTGAAAAATACTGCAATTAGTATAATATATATTTGTATATAGATAAATAAATCACAGTAACTCCATCAGTATTTTAAAATTCTTTTTTCTTGTTTAGTATTAATCATATTTTTTTTGGGTTGAATTTAAAATTTGTGTATATATTTTTTTGGCGGAAAGCGAGAGCGCGTTTATTTATATTTTATATTCTGTATGTTATACATTATTTCAATTATATTATTAATATTGTTAGGGTTGTTTTAAATATTTATTTTGGATTCCGTTAAAATGTCGAAATATGGACTACTAATTATGCGGGTTTAATTAGTTCACTTGCACTTGCGAGCTCGGCGACGGAATCGACGCATACGTTGATCCCATTCGTCCTTCCATTCGATTACGATTGATCTCTGGGTTACACCCAAGTTGCCCGTCACTATTCCGCCCGGAGAGTCGTCCTTTTCACGTCCCAAAATCAAGTATGATCTACAAAAGAGAGATAGATGTTAGAACATTAACGGCATTGCTTATACAGTGGATGAGGTAGATGCGATCTAGGGATTAGTGAGTAGTTAGCTGACGGATATTTATCAGCTTGAGATGAACAACTTCATATAAGTTTTCATCAACTGAAAACATCTTAATGATGCGGAGAAGAAAACATGTTTGAATTAAACGGGGATAAATTACACGACGGAGCGTACATATCAACTGGTTTAATTAGACGTCCATCTCACGTTAACGCACAAATCTGCTAATCTCGTATACAAATAAACTTTTAATTATTTTTCGCTAAATAGTTTAATTATATCAACTCATACATCCATTTAATAAAACACTTTTAATTAACAATTATCATAATGATGATAAAGTTCAATAATACATTTTGTTTATAATTATTTCATTTAAAATATATATAAAAGATTGATTCTGCATATATTTTAAAACTTTCCCTGGCAGTAACCAGACTGGTTCAATCAAAAATCAAGCCATGACTCGGATGCTACACAAAATTTTGTTGCCCTTTCTATACTTTACATGCAATGATCATAGCGGCACAAATCCAGAAAAATCTTGTAATAACCATTTACAGACAAACGGCGGATATATCCGCCATATCCGTTACACAAAAAACTTTGTCATCGTAGCTTGGTTCTAAGACGTAGCGGTTAAAGCCTTGGCTACAGTTACAATTACGTCACTTGTGCTATCGAAATACGCCAAAAACAGTTGAAAATGCGAGATCGAAAAAACTGTGAAGGGTTAATATAGCCCACATTCATGTCAATATTAAGAGTGACAAGATTCTTAAATATTTTCAGACATACCATCTATTGTTTATGGTAAATTTATAATAACAAGATATGACACAGAAACTTAGATTAATTGAACTCCATTTACTATGGTAACATGTGTAGCTAGTAGTTGGTACGTCGGAGAAATTAATGTTCCATGACACATATTGTGTGGATGCAGCATTGTCTATATTAATATCCTTATTTTTTCACACCAAATTATACCACTAGAAGATTTTTCGCATTAGCAGTTTCATATAACAAATATGAGAGAGAATATTAATCAGACCAACAAAATCATGTCTTCATTTATGTTTCTGTACCTTCGCTCAAATAGAAAATGATCATAGCTATATGAAAATATGAGTCAAAACATCCTTTTTCTTATTTCCATAATTGAAGAATTGACAAGATAGAGGAAATGTATCTTACTTCTACTATAGAACCAACTTGTCACCTCACGTAGATTGGTCACTGTAACAAGTCTATTTGTATTATATCTATAGATAAAGAACTTATTTATTATGTTTATTTACACTAAAAGTCTTTCAAAAACAATCTGCTTCAAATGAATAATTATTTTCATAATGTATTCAAAATAAATGTTAATTATTAAATTGATATAATTTGCATAAATGTAATTTTTTTCATAGAAGTGGAATATTTACAGAGATTATTATGAAATTATTATTATGAATATAATTAAGTAATCTTAAACAAAATTTTGCATTCTTTATTTTCTTTAACTTTCATTGCAAATTAATTATAATTATCTAATTGAAATGTAATTTCAAATATGTACAAAGTATAATGTAGATTTTTTGAGTAAAGACAATACGAAATTATCCATGAGAGACATCCGATATGTTTCTCTCGAGATGAATGTAAAATAAATTATAATTATGTAATTAAAGTAAATTCTCTAAATAAAAATTCATAAGTACATGGGTATAATGTGGTATTTAAATAAAGTTATTTTATTTTAATCTTATAAATTAGTTAACTAACTTCTTTTTTTTAATCAAAAACTGTATGTGAAAATATATATGACACTATAGAATTAACAATTTAGTTGTCAACATAATTTAATATGTTATATTTGTATATGTGTTTTTTTTATATTTAATAAGCTTTAAAGAAATGTAGTTAATATGTAATTATTGTAACGTAAAAAATAACAACAAAAAAAATACGTTTTACTCGGAATATGTAATTTATGTACATTTATATAATCGCTAAATACGTGGCACGAGAGAGACTTGTACGTTTTTCAGTCTCATTTTATTTCGTGCATCAAATGAATTTCTGATGACTTTTCATGGCTCGTTTACGAAAATTACGGCTTACGTAATTTATTCATTCCATGGAGACGGACTTCTCGAGTCGCGAACGCGCCTGAAATATATGGTCCGATTTGCATGTGCTGAAATAACTGTAACAAATCGCTCGTCGCTTGAGCCGATTCATTAAATCCAGGACAGATTCTTCCTCTTCCTTCCCGCAATTTCGCCTCGCTCTTTGCTCTTTGAATGAAATGAAGAAAAAAAAAGCGACCTCGCATGCCTCATGCTCGAATAAAACGGATCCATTTTAGAAGCATAAAGTTGCAAATCGCATGCCGTTATGACGTCTGCATCGGATAAATAACATCATAATAAAACCCGTTACTTGGTTGCATATGGAGATGTAGAGGGGATTGGAAAGGGGTTGGGTCCTTAATTGGTCCACTTTTATGGGAAAACGCAGGAATATTTATATCAAACGATATGTCACATGTCAGTTTATATGCGCAAATGCGGAGATTTATTGCCAGATTAAAGCATTTGCGCTGCGGGAAAGTCTCGAGATTTAACTTCCTCCTCGTCGTTCTGTGCTTGATTGAACTCTTAGCTTTTAGTAAAAATTATTGTTTTCTTTGTTACTTACTTGTTTGCTTTGATTTTGGGACACTTGCAGGCTAGATCAGCCGCGGGAATGACGAGCAGCATTGTTCCTTTTCTTATTTTCGAATTGCCTCCTTTCTTGTATATCGACACGATCTTGACCATAAACCTTACCCATCCTTTGGTGTGCTCGTCCTCCGGGTCTTCGACTCTGCTTAGCACTTCCGCCATTATCGCTGCGAAAAGAAAACAAATACAATCAGGAAATCAATCAACAATTGTAGACAAAAAGAAATGACAATTCGCATAAACCATTCATGCATGCAAGATCAATTCCGAGCGGCTCATAAAAAAAAAACAAAATGTACAAATTGAAAACCTTTGATACCTTACGAATCAATACTATTTTATTTACCGATTGAAACACCGTTAAATTTCATAATGTTTATTATAATCGGACCATAAGACGGACCTATTTCGAAAATTTAATTTTGAGTGCGTCTTATAGTCCGAATGCACAATCACACTGCTGCCAGTTCAAATCGAACCGGAACCGAACCAAAACCGCAAACCGGAATTTTTAACAGAAGAGTAACCGGAACGTAAACTTTCTCAATTGAAAAGCCGACACCGGATTGAAATTTTAATAACAATTGATTTCGGTTCATTAAATTATTTCATTAATCGCTTACATTTTAATCATAACCTTACATTTTAATCATAAAACAGTTGGTATAAGGAGAAAAATAAAAATGTGCGTCTGAATTCGAATGAAATTCGGAACTTTTTCATATTTTTATTTTGCGATAAAAACTTTTTTTGATTTTAAATTTAAATTTTAACCGGAACCGAACCGTAACTTATTAGACGAACCGAAAACTAAGCTGAAAGGATAAACATTTACTTGGAACGTAACCGTAAACCGGAAGGAAATTAATTTCGGTTCGATTCACTGATTATAATAGTTGAAATTTAAGATTTCTAAATATTTATAACAGAAATTTTGATTATTCTGAGTTCACACTTATAAAAAAAGATAAAATTAAATCAGGATTGGCAACGCGCGGTCTCGGAGCCAATGGGTTGGGGGGTTCTTTTGATGAGCTCTCATTCCAACACAGACAGTTGGATAGCGAAAATTAATTTCACTAGCAAAAATGTGCCGACCCCTGATTTAATCTAAAGGAATATTTATAATAAACAAATTGGAAATCTTTGATAATTTAAAAATCAATAATTTGATACAGAAACGGATTTGAACGCTGTTGAATTTTGCAAATTGGAATTATAATGAATACACTTATTTACGGATAATTCTATTTTCAGTATCTGCTCGAGACCTGAAATTTAGTAATGTTCTAGTCCAATAATATCCACCTCCGCAGACACATTATTAGGGCATGTTTAGCGGTGCATGCGTTTTCAAATTTTCCGCGTTTGCCAAGTAATTATTCCACTTTATTCTTTTTACTTTCAACCGAATACATATAAATAATATTGGTAACACGCTAACACCAATCACAGTAATTAATTTTAGCGCAGTCAAATTCATTCAACCGATTTTAGAATGGCGTATCAATTTCATACATATTGCATTCAAATACCTAGATATTAATTACATAAATAATAATATGTTCAAAGTAATAAATACAAAAATTATAATAAGGGTTAAACTAATATTTCTTTTATAGTTCAAAAAGTTATAAAATTAAGAAATGGTTAATCCAAATAATATCCTTATTATTTAGTGACTTACAAAATAGTTCCTATTTATTTCTCAATCAATTCATTAAAAACTATTTACTAGGCTATAGTATTTTTTTTTACCTCTAAAAACGAAGTTTCGCTTAATAAAGAAATTTCTTGAAACGCATTCTATTCGTTAACGAGGTATTTCGATTACAGATTCCTTTATTCTTTGAATTTATTTACGGAATTAAAAAAAAACTAAATCTAGAGGTAAAATCAGGTCTGGAAGTATTATTTTATGAATAATATAAAAAAAATAGTTTATCAAATTTCGTTTCAAATTGTAAAAAGAATGCATGTTTTTAATTAAGATTAGTGAGAAACTGTTTGATTATACACTACTATATAATTAAATGAATTTGAAACCCATTACATTTAGAATCTATAACAGACTACGAGTTTGATAATTTCTTTGAGAATTCTGTATGGAAATCATCTCGAGTCAATCTCATAAACTTTTTAGTTTTTCTTTTACATTAAATTCTGTTTTTTTTATATTAATTAAAGAGCTATCAAGTGATATAAATTCAGTTTTAATTGAAAGCATCTCTATAAATGAAGAAGCGGAATGTCTCTTCGCATCGGATGCAGAAGAGCGTCGAGAATTTGAAAAATGATTGTGTGTGTGGAAACTGGTTTAGCCTTCGGGACGTTTCCAGGGACACAATTCGGTTTAGGTTAATGTATTTTGTCGTGTTCGGAGCCCATTCGTATTACAAATGACTGCAATTTGGCTCACTAAATGCAACAATAGTTTGCACATACGACTATTATGGATTATTAATGGATTCGGCTTCAGTGATTTGCGTCGAGACTATTACTCATCCCAATTCAGTTACATCCAGAGATGAAATATTTACCACCAAGTTGTATAATATTATTAAGCATAAATCCGGAGGCACAGTTCATATATTCAATATATAAAATTAATTTAAAAATAAATTATTTCAATGAATTATTTCCTGTTTTAGAATTAATTAATGTCCCCGTCATTGTTAATTGCATGAATGCAAATTACGTTTAATTATTTATAATTAATGGAATCTAATGTAGAAATATATTGGGTGATCATATGCAATGGACATTTCATTTAAATTAAGCAATTTTATTTATTTATTTATTTATTTAAATAATGTTCATTATAGTATAAAAAATAACTGATTCTTTTAACTAATTGAATATAATAATAATTATCTGATAGCTATTATATCTAAATGTATTTTTTATCAATTTGATGGACTTTTATTATTTTAGATGCAGTGAAAATCATATTTTTACGGTCTATGAAATGTTTAATATTTCTAAAATAACAAAGCAAAAGAAGTAATTTTTCACAATATGCTTTGGAGGTAAACTTTGAAGAAATTATTGAACAAAGAATATATGATCTTATTGATATATGGGCTACCTAGTAGAAGACTCAGTAGAGTCTAAACCGGAATGGATCAACATGATGACAGTCATTTTTTAAACTGTCTATAGACCATAGATTGATTGAAATCGGTCTGAAGGTTCTAAAATCTATTCCAATAAAGATCGAGTAGCAATTATTAGATAAGGCACAAACAAGATGATTCATTGTTATGAAGAAAAATAAACATATTTACAATTGTATTTAAAGAAACCTATTTTTTACTTAAACTCTTAACATGCGAATAAAATATAAGTATTTTACAACGAAAATCTTTACTATAAGTTCTTATAGTTCTTTCCGCGTTATTCGAGGCTTTATATTTTGATCTTCCCAATTAAATTCTTACATAATTGCTGACAAATTTGATTCACCTGGATAAAGGTTTTACTCATTTACGAACATTTAAAAAATACTTTAAAGCATACTTATCATTAGATGTCTCATATTTTTATTAAAACTTTAATAATTATTTCTACTGCTTAATAAAGTGAAAATAATTAAATTGTTATTGTTTCAACTGATTAGTACAATAAACTAAATATAATAAGTTGTAATATTTTATGAATTATACAATTATACAAAGAAAACAAAAAAATATACCAACAAAAAAATTACATTTGCGACTAAGACAATCTGTGGATCTTACTGTATTAATTCAGTCAAGAGCCAGGATCTTTATCGTAAAAATAAACTATTGTATCTAAATGTTTGTGTTATATAAAGAATATATTATAATGTAAATTACTATAAATACAAGTAAAGTAAAATTTGTTTCTTTTTTATTCGCGTATTACCTTTGCCTATTTGCTATGTATTAAAATGACCTCCTATAACATTGTTTCGTTTAGCGCTCTGTTTTCAGGGATGCTTCTAAAACGCTAAACGAGTTTTGAAAATAGACTTTCTACCAAATTATTGTACAAAGTTTAAATCTATAAACAGCTCATTTTTAATATAGTAAGTCAAAAAAGTTATTTATATTTCAATATTCTTTTATTATGCTTAGTTTAGATTATAGTACTTTTATAGGTTGCCGATGTATTTGCTTTTCTAGCATTTTTACTTGTTATAGTTAAATAATTTTTCATGTTGAACTTTACATCAAAAGCTACTTGAGTTGTTCTTCTAATTGGGTGAATTTTGTTAGCAAGTTGTTTAAGGTTTGAGTAAAATTATTTTTTGGAAGCAATTAATTTATCATGAGTTTTCAAAGCATAACAATGATCACCCATCCATGATACATTGCTTAACTTTCGTAAGCTGATAAATATCGGTTCAAATTTGTTATCATCGCAAATATAGTCATAGGATTGAACTCAATCAAAGGACTGAACTTGATTCATAAATGAAAATTAATTAATGAAATCCCTTAGTATTAGGACCGGATGAGGGAAATAAATCAGGTGCATTAAACTAAGCCCCGAGATTCCCGTTGAAGTTGAATGCAGGTCGCCGTTTCGGCTCATTAGCATAATCGCGCAAGTAGTGAAGTTCGAAATTCAATCAGAATTATGAATATTTAATAGACACATATTTTCCAATGGGATTCGCCCTGGCTTCGCTTCGGCTTTGTGCTTCGTTGCATTATATTTAATAATAATAACACGGCCATTAGAATGGATTTCTGTTTTGTAATGAGAAGCGCCATAAATCATGTTCTAAGCACATACAAGTATATTCATGCATGAACACTCGCGTACACACACATACTTCGAGAAAACGCGGTATAGCGAAATTACTGTTACGGCTTCCCAACAAAACGCAACGAAATCCCATTTAAATTTCGTTATTGTATGCCTATAGAGCAGCTACCTTTTCTGCTCCAACTAAATTGTATCTAGTTATATTCGCTATTATATGTATACAATTCAAGATGTAATGCCCAAATTGCACTTCGTATAATCCTACACATGATGGTGCAAGACGGCGCTCACTAATTATTTATTAGACGGACGATAAATTTCTGTTGTCTGTTCATATGCATAATTCAAGCATTAAAATGCAATTTACTAATGTAAATGTTTTGATCTTTTCAGACGAAAAATCCATAAGGAAATTGTAAATCATAACCAACCATTCATGTTTTCGACACTCTATAAAAGGAAACAGTTCGTAATTAGTTAAATCATAAAATAAAACATAAATTGTATGAAAATTTATATTAAGTAAGGTAAACACTCGAGTCTAATACGCTCACTTTTTTTTAAATAAAAAATAAATCGAAAGTTCTCACATAAAACATCATCTAACTATTATTTATATTATGAAATACAGTAAAATTTCGATTATAATACGCACGGTTTTTAATCATTTTAGCTGAAAAACTTCATTTTCATTTGTTTTAACAAATATTTTATACAATTTAAAATAAATTCTGGAAAAACGAGCGTACTATATATGAATTTTTATATAATTAGAAACTTTTGCGCTAAATCAAGGATGCGTATATCTCAAAATCATGGAGAAATTATTTTCTTTCATAAAACCTAAATTTTTCTCTACTGTGATTAATTGATTTCACCGGACTGTTTTAAACCGTACTAATTGCATAAATTACCCGGATAAAAGGAAAACTTGAATGTAGCAAAAAATCAATTATTTATGTAATATAATTTTGTATACTATTTTTATTTTGCTACACTTTTTTTTATACAAATTTGAAAAATGTTGTAATAAACATGAAATTGCATTAAGCTAAATATAATAGTATTATAAAAAGTAATCAAATACAGATAGCTATGCAGTTTTACTGATTTAGTCGTATACTCATTATGTAACAGTTACAAAGTCCAGTACTTGTGCAATTATAATTTATACACAACTTGACACATGACAATTAAATGGATAACACGTATATTTTCAATAAAATGGAGCTTTTGTGAGTAAATTGATGGTTTTAATTCATTTCACTAAATTAATACAGTAAATATCTCGCATAGTGCGGATGTTTGTTTGGCAACATCGAAAAACACGAAATTATGTTTTATACATAAATGATCGTTTTTTCCTTTGTTCAGTCAAGTCTATTTAATTTAATGTGGTTTTAAAGTCCTCGATTAGTGGGACTTAATTGAGATTGACAAAACCGATTACCCTCACTCTCCGAGGTAATACTGTATTTATATGTATTGTACTATTATTGATTATTACATTATTTGTATAAATACCTAAACAAATTAGTGTTAAAGCAATTTTCTTTTATGGAAAATTTCCTGCTGAATTCATTTTTTTTTATTAAAAGATATAATGAAAACTGAACAATTAATAATACATCTACTAAAACATTACATAATTTATAATATTAATGTAATTATAATGCTGTAATAATAAAAAATACACAAATTGAATTTTGTTTATTGCAGAATTCATTAATGTTTATAACGCAATGCATGCATATTTGCTAAACAAGAAAATTAAAACCGAATAACACGTATTTACCGAGATTTGAATTGAAATGGTGCGTTGTTTCCTGGTGCATATTTATCCAATTTTTATTTATATAAATTTATTTACTGTTCGTTAAATGTAAATCCATTTAGATTCGATTCGCGTTTTGCATGCAGTCAATGGAATTATTATAATGTAGAAAAATGTAAATTTGAAAAATACCATTTTCCATTCGCGATTTCCATAATAACAATTTCACGCACCATCTGCTAATACATTCACGAAGCAAACACGAAATTTCGAAATAAAAATATAATTCGTTACTTCGTGAAACGTGCGTATTTTTTTCTACAATTATTTCTTTCCACATCGATTGTGTGGTTCAATTAAACAATCAATCAATCTTCACTGAAGGCGAGAAAGAAACGTCTTTGGAAAGTTCCCTTTTCGTTCGGATCAGGAAGTTTCGCATCAAGAGAAGACTTGCACAATGTTACCATTTAAAAGAGAAGATGCATTCACTACGTTCTCATGATGACATGCAAAGTTTACCACCGCTCGGAAACGAACCCAATCTAAACGATTCCTACGATTTCGCTAGATTATTACTAGCTAAAGCGTAATTATTACTTACCGTAATCCCTTTTGCAATACTTGTTTAGGTTGAGTCTTCTTGTGGCCGCTTTGCATTTTCCGCATTGATCTGAAACAAAAAGACGAGATTGAAATCTTTAATGCAATGTACAGACGTGAATGCAATATGTCTGAAGGCGCAGGAAACAAAGTCAATTGGAATGGAAGCACATGAAACAATGAACTATTAAAATTAAAATGAAATCAAAGTCAATGCGCCCATTTCAAAAGGCGAGCGGAGGAAGCGAGAACTGGAGGTAAATGCATAAGAGAAGGAAGAGATTCATGCAGAGGGGGATTTAATTTATTATTACTGTCTTGTTTAGAACCGTAAAATTGACTTTATAGCCCGGTCTTTAACACTCTCACAAATTGGGGCTGTAAATATTTCTTTTTTTTGTCTTTCTCATTTTTTTTTGGTACATTTCTTTTATGATTCGAATCAAATATACATTTCGTTTAATTTAATTCAGATTGGAGCGTCTCGTGAATCTATTTATAAACCATGAAGTTTTGTTATGGCGAAATTAACTCGATAAAACCAGTATAAACTTGGCACTAAATAGAAGTGACTGCACTATTTAATTAATCTCGATTCAATGCATTCTATTAATATTGATTTCATAATTGTCTTAATCAAAATGCATTATAACTATGAATTCATAATTTTCAATAATTGTATTAATTAAAATAATTTAAGAATGTTTTGAGAAGTTTATAAGAAAACATTAATATTTTACAGCTTTTTGATAAGAAATCTCGAATATGGACAAATATTGGACAACCCTCATACAACATGCTTCTTTAAATGCACAGTTTCTTCAATATATATATTTTCATAATTCTTATTAGCATTACTTTTCGCCGTAAAGCAAAATCATGTACATGTAAGAACTTCGTTTAAAATTTAAAAAAAAAATGAACTTAATATTCTTTTATATATGGATCTGGAGTATGGAATAACATGATTTTGAACATTATCAATAATTATAGTATTCTAATCTAGCAATTCTCACACTAAACAATTAAACAATGTTATATTTGATGAAAACCCACTGTTTTTCTATAGTTGGGGTGGCCAGACTTTTTGCAGCGTGAGCCGCACATAAACTTTTTGGTATAATAATTTTTTAAAAATCTCAATCACAATATAAAATATATATAATATTTGTGTTTTATTGTTGCTCAACAAGCCACAACAAGACTCTGGAAGAGCCGCATGCGGCTCGCAAGCCACAGTTTTGCCACCCCTGCTCTATAGCTTAACTATAAATCTAAGTTCCAGTGATTAGCAATTATATGTTCTAAATAAGAATATACTTGATTTATATATATTATAACTCAATCCGTATATTACGAGTTCCGCCAATATCTCGAACTATTTTAAACCAGACTAATCGAGTAATTTCTTGTAAAAATAATTTTCTCCACAAATTATTTAGAATTTTGAATTTAATAAATGCAAGGTATTGTAAAATTATGCAAGAAATAAAAAATACATCTGTCAAATACGTTCAATGGATTTGTTAAAATATATTTCAAAAACAGTAAACTTGAAAATAGAAAATAATGTAAAAGAAATGTGGTGTGGTAATGGTTGAATTCTTTTACGGAAATTCCAGTAAGATTTACAGGAATATTGGTTGGACATGTTCACTGATCATAAAAGAACGTTATTATCTCATATACGCACAGCATAGGAGTTAATTAATTGGAATTCCAGCGTATCGAGTTTAATCATCGAAAGATTGGATAGAAGAACTATTTAAGACATCCTGGTCGTGGATGAATAATTTTAAAACTAGTTGAATTAAGGAAAATTATTTGTTAATAATTTCATTAATTTTCAGTAGCAAAATATACGAAGTAATATAAATAATTTAAATCAAAATAAATATGTAATTATTTTATCATAATATTTGAATAACATGATGTTTATCAAAGTCTAATTAAGGTGAAATCGAATTTCTTTGAAAAATTAAATTCAACATTTTCCTCCACTAAAGCCATAAAAACTATCAAAAGCTCAAGATATAAATATGTCAGTAAAAACAAATTTATAACGCTGCTTAAATAATAAATTGTACATATTTAATAATTTGAAAAGAAAAATAAATGAATATTTTTGATGCCTCTATAGATTATTAATTAATTACTTTACAACGTTTAACAGTGTAATTTAATTTACAATATTTTCACTATTATAGAATACGCTTTTCATTTGTTTCTATATACAGCAATAACTCGCATAGTTCAGGTATGGGATATTGGCGGAACCGAACTTTTGGTTAATATTTTTTTAATTTATATACGATTATGTAATTACAAATAAGTAAATGAATGAATATATTTCATAACGTTACATATTATTAACTAATTATCAAAAACTATTAGTGTAACGTTAGGATGTTATATAATGCACTTTTAATCTGTTTTTATAGAGATTCAAAAGATCACGATGGAACACGCACGCATCATTCATCTGTGCGAGATGAAGTAGTTAGAAAATATTATTTGTGGGTTCACCTGAAGAGGTGGAATAACTGTAAGAACTTCTAGTGTGATACATATGAAAATGTCGCGGAAGCACGACGTATTGTTGATGTCCAGGTCAAGGAAGTAAAGATGACACGAGGATGAAGAATCCATTTCGAAAGTTGCTTTTTGCACACCGAGAAGAAATGAACACACGTTCATGCATCGAATGATAAGTGAGATAATTCATATAGTCAGATGGAAATTCTGAACAAAACTATAATACTATATCTATCAAGTAAGTATATAAAAAAATACCAAATCTTTATTTGTTGTTTCCATTTGTTACCATGAACTATTTTTTGGTATTCTCCATTTCTGCCTACTTCACATCATTTCATTAAAATTAATAAACAAATTTGTTGTATATATAATTTGTAGTAAAATAAAATCTTTGTCAACAAAAACTACAACTTTTATTGCATTTTCAAAAAAATAATAAATTTGAATGGTAAAAAAGACAGGGAATAATACTTAAACCAAATTTATTGAATAATTTTAATAAATACAAAAATTATATAAAAAATTTGAAAATTATTTTTTTTCTTTTCAAATAATTTAGTCAAATTGGAATGGATAACACTAAGAGTAAAATAATGGTTATAACAAATTTAAATATTTTAATCCATCCATGTGTTAAGTACTAATGTGTGAATGAAACATTTAGTTACTTGTAATATTTATATGCATAAATAATGTGTAACATATTTTTGTATGAGATGTTCATGAACTTAGAGAGCATTAGTGATTTCATCGAGAGTAAAATATTAATAGGAAAAACAGAGACAAAACAATGTGTTACCCATAAACATTACTCAGTAAAGAAACGACCCGAAAATATAACTTAGATAATAACAGACGTTTCCCCCTTTTAAGACAAATTAACAAGTAATTAAATTTTATAATTTTAATGACCACGGTTTTTTTAGCCTTCGGCAGATGCTGAGGTTTGTAATGAAGTATGTATGTTCGTACGCATATATAGAAGAAGGGTGAGCTCCTTTTTGCCCTTGCGTCTCCTTCAGAAACGAACTTCGATGTGAATATGAGTGAGTGAGTGAGTGAGTGAGAAAGAAAGAGAGGGAAGAGACCTCTAATAGTATTTTTCCTCAGAGTGGAAGCCACTCCAACGAAAAATTATCCTTCAGTCAGCTCTTTTTGTCATTAAAAGCAAGCAAAATCCGTTTGCCGACTTCAATCGGTAAAGTAAGTGAAAGACATAGAGCGAGATGGGAAGAGTGTTTAAAGTAATTTACAATTTCGCATCATTATAATATATTCAATCCGAATATTCGTTTCGCTCGGTCGTAATGAGTGTGTTTACTCTTGCCTCCATCGTCGTCATCATCATCATCTGCTTCTCCAACCTTCTCAACCTATCCTCACTGTGGGGCCCACACAAATCTTAATTAAAATGTAGAAACTTAACTTCAATTAATGTTCGTTCTCCGTCCAACGCACAGATATATTCTGAAGCTTTCGTCCAACAATGCTGTCCGATTTCGAAAATCCTCCCAATCGGGTGGAGGCGCGTGATTCGAATGCCAGCTTATATAAAATACGATTTTAATTAATGCACGGTAATTAAAACGTTCTTGCGGCTAATTGTTAATATCCATCGGTATTACTTTTTAATTATACACCGTCTTACGGTGAACTTCGATGATTTTTTTCATTCAGCATATAGACGAGATATTAAGAACACTTGGAATTCGGGGGGAGAACTTTAATTTCGGTAATTATCAACGCGCCAGGTCGTTACATTTTCATATTGATTGGGTACCAAAAAAAGCATTTCATACATTGTACAACCATAAAAATGTCTACACTCAACAAGATGAAATTCACATTTCATAATCTATTCTCATTAAATTTAGAATTATTTACAATATAGAAATATTAAGTTCTTTTTAAACTTAAGAAAATTAAAAATATTTTTTTTTACATTCTAATAAGTATTTTATACAATTTCATTCACTTATAGAATATTTATATTAGTTAATATCTATAAAATAACGTTTTTTTATGCGGTAAACAGTTTCAAGTAAGTTAAAAAATAAACAGTACAAACAGTGATTATAAAGAATTTTACCTTTTTACCGACCATTTTTATATAAAAAAATAATTTTAAGTACCATTTTTTTTAGAATTTATTTTGCTCAAATATAATTTAGTTTGTTTTACTACAGTGAATCTGTAGTGGTCGAATTCAACAGTAAGTTTATAATTGTTAACTGAATTGAAAATTTTAACACGACATAATAGAGTTATATTATTGAATAATATTATATAAATAAAATGTATTTATAAATTTTTCAACAAATATTTTTACCACATACATACAAATATGATGGCCAAATGTAACTTCAAATATATATTTCTAGTATTGATTGATTCATATGTACAAATAAAGCTTTACACATTTTTGAAAATAAAATTGTTATTTATCCATTTATATTTCATTATTAGTGAAGTTATTTTTTTTAACCTTAGCAATAACACAAAATAAAATATGATAAAAAAAATTACAAACAA